AGGAAGTTGAAAACACACACAAGGTTTTTTAAAATATTCTTTTTTAAAAAAAGAATCAACACATAGGCAAAGGGGACAACAGTAGTTTCCACCTTTTCCAAGACTCAATAATAATTGATAATTAATTTTTTAAAATTGTTCTTTTCAGGATTTAATCAATACTATAATCCTAAAGTATTATTCTTATTCTCTAATAGGGTGAACTAATCTGAAGGATATAGTATTAATAATGGATATATTTATTTGGGAGCCTGTTTTTAGTAAGTTATTCAAATAGGAAATGAAAAGTCAAATATTAAAGAAGCTTTTATTCTCAAATAGACTTTTTCACCAATATCTCTGAAAAGATACTAATATCTTAATAGAATAGAATAGAATAGAATAGAAACTCAATGAAGTTTGCAAAAAGAGGTGAATAATCAGATGAAATTGAATCAACCAATAGGCATCCCAAAAATTACAAATTATGGAAAATATTTTAACTTAGCCACCTCAAAAATATTGGTGTTCAACAATTTTCTACACGTCTTTCAAAAATGAAGAGGCCTGGTTTTAGTCAATTACATTTTGTAATGTAATATGTAATATTTTGAACAGAAAATTTAACCAAAAGCCCCAAGAAATACAAATTTGCACTACTTTTCTTGAGGAAACAAAATTAAATAAAGGCTAATACCAACAGGGACCTTGATCAGTATAAAGGAATGGCTGGCTCTTTGTATTCACTCAAGTAGTATGCAAAACTTCAAACTTTACAATATAGCAAGATATAAAGTTAATACATTGATTCCAAACTAATGTGAAAGATGATTTGCAATTTTTTTAAAAAAAACTATTTATTACATTCTCCAAACACCTAAATTTTCCTAGCATCATAGTCCACAAGTTTCTAGGTTGTTTGCATTCCAAGCACATTAGACGTATCACGATAAATTTTATTTCACTTTTATAGACAACTTTTTTTTTTCAAAAATTCAAATTGGACCAAGTAAAAATATTTTATCATTAACTTCCCTAATTATTTTACTTTATAACAGTGTTGTGTGACTCATAAACCATTATGACAATCAGCACTGCCAGCATCGTACAGGTAAGATCTGATTGTGTTTGAAGAAAGGTATACTTTTGATTGCTGTCAGATATTAATATTGCAATATCTATCAAAATGTACATGATTTTTAAAGCTTTTACTATAGGAACAAGCTTAATGGTAATGTTAAAAAACATTAATATTTTCCCTAAATGAGCCAGTTTCTGGAATTATTAACTTTTCAGATTCCTAACTGCAAAAGAGTAATTTACCCTGACTATCTCAAGATACCTTAACAGCAAGAAGTAATTAGTTCATCTGACCTTAATGTTTGAAAAATATTAAGACATTCCCGAAGCCCGTCTCTCTGTGTGGAAAATAAAATATAGTCTGAACGCTGACGTCCAACGAAGAACTACCAGAAGAAATCCTTTTACAAAGAAGGCTGTTTTGAATTTTTTTATTAACAGGACTATGGCGCAGAAATGCTCTATATGGACATACAGTATATACGCACATATATGCCACAAACATACAGCACCATAAAAGATTGTTAAGGCTGCAATACTCTTCCTACAGAAGAGTACATCAGTAAATGCAGGAGGACTTACTTTTGAGTCGATACGCTTAGTCCCATATTATAAATTGATAAATCAGATGTTATAGAGGGAAAAAAACAAAGATATATATTGTGTGCATATAAACACATATGTGAACCCATAAAAGCTAGCTCTTTGTCCTTTATAAAGGATGTACTATGCTATTCGCAAAGATCTCAAAAAGGCATTGCGTATTTTATGCATTTAAAAGCTAATTCAAAAATTCCTGACTAAATTGGCGCAAGGCCTTATATCTCAAGCCTACTCTAATTCATAGAAAACTCCATCAAAGTCCTAGGAAGAATTTCATAGTGAGGCTTGCTTGAATTCCAGAAATGAAAACATACATGTTTGAAATCAAAGGCTTCACAAAAGAACCTGACATCCCCTCCTAAATCAAAGCATTGGAAGCTGGAAAAACTAAGAGGACATTTATAGGCTTTAAGTTATATCTTTATAGAATCCTAACTGATAAAAATGTATTTATCGTCTTCATTATTCCTCTCCCACACCACATTTAAGAAACAGCCCAGCAATATAGGAACAAAATTCCATCTCTAAATTGCATCATGCAAATTTAAGTTGTGCATATGGTACGAGAGAGATTTTAGGGTTTAGATGAAGTTAAGCAGCTGCACAGGCGCCTCTCTCTCTGGTAAATGCATAATCCACAATTTAACTGGTGTTATACCTTTTTAAAAGAACATAATGACCCCTCTGTGCTTTTTTTTTTAAGGGGGGGAAGGGGCTAAAGTATTCCATTTGTATGTGTTAGCAAGTTTGTAACAAACTTTCACTACCAGTCATAAAAAAAAAATCTTACAAATCGTTAATAGCATTTCCAGACCGTTTTGTCAGCATCACGATTTACAGGAAATAGTTGGTGTGCTCATGAAAGAGTTTATTTGCATGAGCCAGAAGACTTAGCAAAAACAAAGTTTAAAGGGTTTTTTTTAATGATTTTTAATATGTCGAGTTAGTGAAATATTTGAAAGGGTTTTCTCATCTAACAGACATATTGCAAACATGAGGACAAGGACTGCCTTCTGTTCAGGAAACTCTACTGTACATTTTTATTGTTTTCTCCAATAAACCTTTATCGCTCATTTGCACTTTATGTGGTAACTTGAGCTTTTGATTTTTTCTACTTCATCAATATTTCAATTCTTACGATATTTTTCAAGTCACGTAGACCAGAAGAATAATGCATAAACTATTCCAAATGCAATAGTTGGGAGATTCCTTTTTAATGTGTATGAAGTGGGGGAAGGGGAGATAGAACACCAAATTAAAATGTCAACCCTATTAATATAAATATTGTGCCAAAGGTTTATCAAAAGCTCTCCAACTTTTTTCCAGCCATTCTGAGTGGGGGATTATTTACTACAGCAAGTAACTTGGTGTGGTATTCAGGAAAGTGCTAGACACCAACACAGACACAGTCTTTTTCTTAACTATGTTTTCTTCCAATTTTTTATTCTGCTCCCTCTCTCACATACACACACACTATATTTTCTTCCAACTTTCCAAACTTTCTCGCTGTCAATCAGAATGGTAAAGCAAATCTTTATGAGATCTCTGTCTGATTTACTTCCTATCACTTGTTCGCTGACTCTTCTCTTTCTATCATCTTTTCAGTCCATGGAATTCAGAAGTTTGACAACTGCCAAAGTAAAGGAAAATAATGTACACATATAACATGTGTACATGTATAAATATAACTTCTCCCCCCCCCTGAAAGCACCCTGTTTACCAGAAGAATAACAAAGGGAGCCCACATAAATCGTCAAAGGGGAAGCCTCACCAAACAGCACCCATCAACTTAAAAATGCTATTGAGATCTAGCAAACATTCTCTTAGGATCAAAGGAAAAGATCAGAGGAGGTGGGAAAAAAACACCCATGGGGTAAAAGTGTCAAGTTTGAAAGCACTCTCACCAAATGAAAACCCCCTTCTTGGGGACTTTAATAACACAGCAGCCCACCAGCTTCCTTGCTGTTTATCCGAATTTACTACAATCTTTCCTTCTTCAATTGCTAGGAAGTTTGCACTTCTCCATTCATTCTGATTGGGGGGGGGGGGAAGAAATCTGTCCTCTTTGTTAGCAAATATGAGTGATCCGTAGGGAAAAAAATACACAAAGTAGCTTAGGAAAATTGAGGAGACTAAGCAGGGAATCCCAGTCTTTAAAAAACTTTTAAGAAAAACTTCTTTAAAATATGGAATCACCATCCAGTCCTATTACTGGCTGAAAAAGAGCTAGCAAATAAACATTTTCCTCTCCCCATCTCATCAATACATACTTTATTCCATATTCCTAATCTCCTGTTTGTTTTATTTAGTTTCCTTCTCGCCTGATGCTTTCTCCTTTCGAAAGTTGCATACAGAACCCAAGTATTCTTAAACATCCGAAACTGGGGAGTAGGAGGGGAGACTTACTACTTTGCATGTGGCATCATCCTTCTGGAGTCCGGCTTTATTTTTGCGAGAATCCCATGTAAAAAAATCAAGACGAGAAGGAGCTAACTTTGGCGAGACAGGCGGGGGGGGGGGGGAGTCTTAGGCCAAGATTGGCCAAACTGTCTTTTAAAAAAAGAAGAATCCAGCAAAATAAAGAAGGGAAGGGGAAACCTGGGCACCTCTCCTTTCCTGATGGAGGGGAATTAAACCAAAGCAGTGCACACTCGAGGGGAGGAGGGGAATTAGCAAAGCCACAGCTAGAGAAGAAGTTCCTTTCTTGTTGGGGGGGGGAGGAGGAGAAAATGGGAGGGGGCGAAGGGAAGGGCTTCCCTTATGGTTCTCCCCGGCTGCTGAACTTGACCTTTGCTGACTCGCCGAAGCGGGCTATTGCAAGTTTCCAAGACGCCAATTTCCAGGCATCGACACACAAGTTCATCACAAAAGCCGTTCGGGCAAAGGGGTCAGAAGGAAAAGCAGGGCGCCCCCTCTGAAGCTGAGCCCCCAGCTTCTGCTTTGGGGGGGGGGAAATCAAGTGGCCGGGAAAGGACTCGCGCCCAGCTATCGGGCCCCCTCTTTTCCAAACCACCCTGCCTCTCTCTATCTCAGCCCTTCGCGGGCGCGCACGCCACCGAGAGCAGCGGAACATCTGAACCCACCAGCCACCCGCGTCACCACCACGCAGCGAAGAGCAGAAGCCGGAAAAGATCCGCGCACCCCCTCCATCTCACCCCCCCCCCTCGCGCGCACACACACACACACACCACATTCACCCACACATACGCATCTATCCAACACCGTTCCGGCTCTGGAACTGGCCGGCCCCTCCTCCTCTTCCCCCCCCCCCGCGGCATGTCCACACCACGCGACAACCCCCCCCCCGGCGGAGCGGCCGCAGCAGCGGTCCGGCTTACCTGTTGATTAATCAGCAATAATACGAGCAATAATGGTCGCAGCGCCTGGAAAGATGGTGGCACCGTCGCTTGCGCCATGAACCGTCTTTCTGTTGTTTGCAACAAGAGTTGATCTTGGATTATTTTGGAAGAGGTGGGGAGGGAGGAGGGGGGAGAGAGGGAAGGAAGGAAGGAGGAGAGAGAGGAGGAGGAAAGGAGGAGGAGGAGGAAGAAGAAGAAAGGGTTAAGGAGCTGAGGGGGAGGGAGGGGAGAGACAAGAAAGGTCTACCTTCCCGGCTCCCCTTCCTCCTCCTCCTCCTCTTCCTCCTCGCCCCTTGCGGATGGGGGGGAGAGCCAGGGGGAAGCGCGAGGGGGGACCCGGCTCTGCTTAGGAAAGAGTGGGGAAGCGCCGGGCTCGGCGTGGAACAAACAAGCGCCCGAAAGGGAGGCTGCGCCCGAGCTCCGCGCTTTATCACAAGTGTTATCGCTTGTCAGGACCTCCGTCTTCGACCATGACGTCAGTTTCAAGATACCAACACTATTAATATCAAAGGGAGCCTGAGCGAGCGAGAGAAAGCGCCACCCCAGCCGGAGAGCCCTTAAAGAGACAGTGCAGGCATCCCCCTGTGTCCGCGGACGGCCTTAGCCCGGCCCACTGGAGCGGCCAAGGCTCCTCCTTCTCCGGCTCGGCCGCTCTCGCTGCTGCCGCTGCTGCTGTTGTTGCTGCTGCCGCCTCCTCCTCCTCCTCCTCCCCCCCCGTCCTCTTCCTTCTCCTGCTTTCCCCTTCCCCCCCCCCGGGACGTGAGAGGCGGCGAGGCTCTGGTCACCCCGCTCTGCTGGCCCCTAAGGCAGGCCGGGCGAGCGGGTGGGAGCGGTGGAGATGTTGGGGGCCGGCCGGCAGGCCTTTGCTCGGGAGTTCCTCTGCGCGTTCCTCCCCCCTTGTTTCCCATCGCTTTGGCAAAGGAGCCGCGGCGTTTTCTGCCTGGCGCAGGAAGTTTGAAAGGGCGCGTAAGACGGGGCTGAGCCGCAGCGCTTGCCTACGGCGGACCCCGGGCAGGGGGTCTCGAACCGGGGCGACGGGAGCGCTTGTATGCGAGGCATGTGCTTCAAGCGATGGCTCCGCCTTTAAATCATGGCTGGTTTCTCATGCTGCTCCGTCCTGTCGCGCCTGTTGGGAAAGAAAGCCCCGGACTTTTCTGGGGCATCTTCTCCAGGGACTTACTTTCCACCCTGTTGGGATGGGAGGTGTAGTAGTTGGGGGCAGCAGCATCCAAAGGGATGTGGGAGCCCATGGCTCTCTCTGATATGGCCTTGCACTCCGATCAAAATGGATCTCCCAAAGGAAAGTCAGCAAGAAAATGCCTATGGACCAGGGTCACCCTTTGTCTAACGCGCTGGAAGGGTCTGAAAGCCAAACTTGGGGGGTTGATTTGCTTGGATCTTTGCAAGGGGTGATGCAGTTCGTTTTGTTCCATATTAGATCATTTCTTTTAATGGAAGGCTAAGCAAGACCCTACATGAAAGGCAGAGTGAAGCCCTGAAGGGGGTGATCACATACATAGTTATAAATCACAAGGACCCTGCCAGAGATTGATGGACTCCAGTTATATTTATGGAAAGCTTTGTGGAACCCTTGGTCTGTTTACTCCAACAGTTTCTAATCAGCAAAAGTCAAAATCCCGACATCAAATATGATCAGCGGTGAAGTATCTGCTTCAGATCTCAGGAGAAATTGTGAAAAAAAAACCACTTAGTGATATGTACTTTAAAGAGACATAAATGTTTAGAGCACATGTGGGGGTTATAAAGTAATATGATTTGCAAAATATGTCATATATTTTGAACTAATTTCAGGTGCTTGTTATTTGTTGCTCCTTTTTCAAGTCAACCCATCCAACCCACCAAGTATGAAAACGCTTGTACTGTAAGCCTTAGACATAAAAGTTATTTCTGCCCAAGTAGGTTGGATTTCATTTACTATATTTTCTTTAAAAGAGTGTAAAACAGGGGTGGCTGGCAGAGGGAGGGAAGCATAATAGTGTACGCAGAATATATATTCTCCTTTACAAAAGTATTTCAACTTGGTAACTCAAAACGAAAGGTTAATTTGCAATAGAAAGAGAAAGGTTTGCTAGGATATTAATCTTTCATGCGTTGGGATTTGTATGTGTTGAATATCCTTCCATCGGCCCAAATCACGTAAATCTTGTGTGAGGTTTGCCTGGATATGTACATCTTTGTACAGATGCAATAATCCACAGGCAAGTAATGTAAATAAAATGTAGTCGGCTTGTCAAAGGAATACATGCTGGTTAACGAGGGAAAAGAGAACCATTAATAGAATAAGATGTAGAAGCCTGATTAAATACCCCATCTCCAGAAATTCATTGAGGAAAGGAAAAGAAAGTAGCACTAAAATCTGTGATAAAATTTAAAGTCAGTTACTAAGAACTATTTGCATTTTTAATGACAGAGTAATTTACTGTAGTACATTGCTATTATGAAGTAGAAGGGCTCTTTGGGGAAGGGAGAGCTCCACATTTTATTTTATTAAGCTGTAAATCCAATTGCTGGAGAAATTTTAGACAGAGTCAATGTCTGGAATAATTTACATAAATGAATGTTGGAACTGCTTTTTCCGCACAGAAGGTTTTTCAGAGTGCTTAGTTTAACTAAACACCATCTTGTTTTCTAGATAATTTAAAGCCCAACTTACAAGACAGTTGATCTGATAAATCTTCTGTTGAATTCAACCATATGAAGGCAGATGACATGAAATTCCTTAAAGTTTTTTTGTGTGTGGAAGGGATGGGGGGCACGGGCGGAGGGGATGTCTACAGGACGAATGTGTCAGAAAAGTTTGCCAGCCAGCATTTCAATGGAAAGATCAGAACAAGATGATTACTCATTACATGACTCTGACATTACTAATATTGCACATTTAAAGCAATGAACGCTCTCCTGTTTTCTGCAAATTCAAAGTTTTCACAAGGTAGTTTTGAAATAAGAAAGCTGTGTTTGCCGTCTTTTTCTGTTCTTCAAATATTATTCCCTTCAGGTTATCGTATAAAGTTTACATCTGTGGACGAATAGTCCTATGATGAGCATAAATGTTCTAAAATTATGCATTTTTTCCAACTCTTAAAAAAATCCTGCTTGAATAAGTCATTTTACCTACTCACTCATAAACAATTGGCCATACGGTACAAGTGGAACTGAAAAATGGTAAAGAGAAATGTTTATCCCCTCACTGTTTATTTCATATATGGTAATGCAAGTCTGCCTTGTATTTTCCAACAGAAAACATTCTGTGAAAACAGTAATATTTAGAAAAAAATCTTGAAAACTACAAAACAGTTTAAAACAAAATAAAGCAAATCACAAGGATGTGAATAGCTGAAGTTATCCTTCAGAAGATCCATGAAGAATTTATAAAAGGCAAGAACAAAACAGTGTTATTCAAAAAATAATTATTATTTTTTCATGAAGTAACTCACAGAGACAATTTTTTTTACCTCATCCTGAAGATTTTGGCACATGCTTTTCATTGGCACAATATCTAGAGCCATAAAGGATATTGTGTGGCAATTTTTCATCCTACAAGACAATTTTCCAACTTGTTGATGAGCTCATGTAGTAAATGCTTGACTGTAACTTTTGATATACAGTACATTACACCAGTAGTAATAAATACATCTATTTTATTTTATTTTAAGGTACCAAAACATTTGCTTTCTTTGAAACAAAATTACCCACAAAATGTTGTCTGCCACAGGAATTTCAAAAGACATGGGTAACTGTTACAGAGTGTAAACATCATTCAAGCTAAGATGCATATTTCCACAGTGGAAAAAAGGGGGTAACGTGAAAATATGAAATCAAGGTGCAGGCCAGCCAAATTTAAACACATTTCAGTTCTTGATGTGTACTTTCTTCCCATTGAAACCAATTAAATTAGTCAATATTTTAAACTGAATTCTCCAGTGAATACAGAATAGAAAGACCAGTATGGTTCATTTTGAAAGAAAACAGTGCCGCAGTCTTTGTTTATGAAGATGAAACAACATGCCATTATGCTCTTTATTGTTGAATGCCAAGGAAGAGATTTTTTTCTTCTCTCTCTCTCATCTTCTTGTAGTTTATTCAACATAGATACAGAGAAGGATTAGCAGTTAAGTACAAGCATATGTGTTTTACAATTTCAACCTTTTAGCGCATAACTTCCTTACTTAAACTACTAGAGCCAGTAATCACAATGATTTTACCTGATGGAACATGTTTTTCAGAAATATAATCCAACCGTTTATCCTTAACATGTCATAAATTGCCGTTCTCCCCAAAAGCTAGTAAGACTGACATCCATCACTCTTGAAACACTTCTTACATTTGTAGAGGCATCAACAACATTTATGCCTTATTACTCTCCAAAGTTACAAAGGTAAGAACTATAAGGAAGCCTTTGTCCAACATAAATCTTCAAGGGCATTTTGAGGTCAAAACAGCATCCCCTTTTCCTCAAAGAATTCTGAATATTTATCCAGAAATTTTTTTAGTAATCTTCATTCTGATGTGGTGTTATAATGGCCTTGAGAATTTGATAGCCAGTGTTTGACAAGATTACAAAATAAAATCATTGGTTTATATACCACATACCCATCAGATTTTCCAGTTCCATTTTGCAGTGAAAGATGTTTCTTTTTTATTGAGATTTCATAAGAACAATCTTTAGATGAGTTTTCCTATTACTGCTTTTTGAGATTGAAGAAACTTTAATGCCATGAAACTAGAGAAAGCCCCAAGGTCCTCTTTGGATCAGGATCTTAAAAACCTATTGTATGGAAATTTACATATTGTTGATAATGTAAATCAGTTTATTTCAAATTTGACAACTTTTAAGATGTGTGCAACTTCCGTAATTCCCCAGCCAACCTGGTTTAGTTCATCTTCAAGATGCAAATGAAAGAGGAAGGTTAGATTTACCAGATTTGAAATTGTAGTTCACTGCTTGTTGTTTGGCCTGGATGAAAAAAAAAATGTTTCTGAGAAACAAGAGACTTTTAGAGAGAGACGATCATGACCTGAGGTTTGGATGGCATGGATATTTATGGTATGAGAAAGTTAATATGTATTTCAAGAATTGTTTTATTAGATCTGCCATATTGAGAATATGTAATAGATATAAACTCAGTTGTGGCCCAAAACACCATTAAGGACCTCAGGTCAAGTATATCATAGAAGAGAAACAGCAAATAAATAGTTAGCATGTTGGAAATTATTGGGAAAATTAAAATTAAATAAAGAGAGTGCTTCATAACAGAAGGACATCTTTTTTAATGACTTTCCTGCTTATAGTTACCAGAAAGATTCAAATTAGCCAAAAAAGATTTATTTTTTAGTGCAAGGACCCATTTTGAAGTTCAGTACAATTGTGTACTGATGATGAACGTGTAATTGCTAAATTGTATCAACTGTTGAAATTTGAAACAGGAAGAACAGGTTAAATAATGCATGATAAAGTGGGTTAAGAATTGAGTTATATTTTATACAGATGGCTCAAAGGGAAAAATATGGTTAAAGCGGCTGAAATATATGTTGTATTTTGATCTTAAAGAGAGTTTTTATAAAATTATGTATCATTGGTATAT